TGGTTTATTTACGAAATTATTTGCGGTTTATTTCAAAATCTCTCATCCTCATAATGCTTCTAAGATGTCACAATGAAGTATAAACTGCCAAAATAAAGAAGAAAATTCACCAAAAGGAAGAGGGAAGAAAAGGAGAAGAGAATTTAAAAAAAAAAAAAAAAGATATAGTCACTTGCTTCAAAGAGTCAATGATTTAGATAGAAGAGAGTCACACAAATAATGACAATACAAAGTGATGCTGGCTATAATATCAATATAGACAAAATACTTCAGGAACATAGAATACCTAAAGCCATTAGGAAGACTCTCCCAAAGGGGTAAAATTTGAAGTGGGTCTTCAGGATTACAGAATCCAAGAAATATCTAATAAAAGCTTGAATTAGATTCTCAAAGGGATCTGGGAAGATCACCAAAATAGAGCCACTGGACCTGAGCGTTCATCAGTTCATGGGTATATTGGGGTGGTGATGGTGATTCTCAACTTTACAGGCAGTTTAGGGCTAAATGATTACTTATTCTTTGAGGCCTCTCATGGAAATATAAACTTCTCTAAATACCATAATATAACAAATAAATCTAGAATGATTCCACAGCAAAATAATTGGTAGTTATCATTTTAGGAAAACAAATGAAATACCCTGTGGGTCAATAATGGACATTCTTTGGGTCAATATAACATCTGCAAACTAATGACAGAAGAGGCAGGAGTTTCTACACACCCACTCCAGTCGCTTTTCAACACTGATTCTTCTAACTTTACAGAGCATGAAGTCACAATGCATTTAATGTCCAGAACTTTGGATGACCTCTCATGGAAATGTATCATTGTTGGAAGTTGTATGTAGAAAGTTAAAGTCACAATCCTCTAAATTCTCCAACAGGGATATCATCTAGCCAAAGAGAAAACCTGGAGGAATACATCAGGTCTGGTGGCTCACGCCTGTAATCCTAGCACTCTGGGAGTCCAAGGCAGGAGGATGGCTTGAGGTCAGGAGTTTGAGACCAGACTGAGCAAGAGCAAGACCCTGTCTCTACTAAAAATAGAAAAATTAGCCAGGAATAAAGATGCATGCCTATAGTCCCAGCTACTCAGGAGGCTGAAGCAGGAGGATCACTTGAGCTCAGGAATTTTTTTTTTTTTTTTTTTTTATTCCAGGGTTTTGTGAGGGTACAAACATTATAGTTACACTTTATGTGTTGAGCCCAGGAATTTGAGGTTGCTGTGAGCTAGGCTGAAGCCAGGACACTCTAGCCTGGGCAACAGAGTGAGACTCTGTCTCAAAAAAAAAAAAAAAAAACCTAGAGGAATACTTATTTTTCTATTTATTTATCATTTACACCCAATTCCTTTCTAAAAATACATATATAGAGGAAATAGCAAATAGTAAAAGTCAAAACATAGTTTATATCGAAAAGACTGTCTACTCAAAAAGAGAAGTTCAAAAGAAATTGCAGGACATTACAAATGAGCAGCCACTGGTGGAATGACACTCACCTGAATCCCAGCAGGACTGATTTCGTCAAAGCCTCCCACAGTATTGAAAATGAATTTTACAACTTTGTTAAAATTATCATCCCCGATACTCCAAGAGGCATCAGTCAAGAACACAATATCTGCCTTGGCACCTTTGCATACTGGAAAAAAAAAAAAAAAGCAGAGGAAGCCCCGAATCTCATTAATCCTTTCTTTTAAATGAGGTTACATAATTGAAAAATGTAGTATAACACCTTGCTACACAAAGTGTGGGTCAGCAGCAACAGTATTGCCTGGGAGCTTGTCAGAAATACAGAATCTTGGGTCCTACCCCAGACTTCCTGGATCAGAACAAGCAATAATTAGATACCCAGATGACTCATATGCACAATAGATTTAAGGCATACTGGTCTAACTGACCGTCAATTCCTGCTCTGAAATTATTCCATTTGTTTAGATCCGTTATATGCAAAGATATGATCTTGCCTCATGGAACTCTTCAAGTAGCTTCAAACAATAAATGAAGGGGGAAATCAAATAAAAAGCCATGATGCCCAGAACTAAAGGAAAGCTATCAGTGGGTTTGGAGATTTTGAATATAATTATTAAAGATTTGGAGCAAATAAGTTGTTTAATTTTAAATTAGGCCATTAGAATCATATATGGGAAGGGAGAGGAGAAAATAAAATAAAGAAATATCTTTAATTTGACTTCCCAGACTTGGAAACTAAAAAAAAAAAAAATCAAAAAAAAAAACTTAACAAAATTTTAGTTTATAAGAACTTAACATATAGAATGTATAACACCAAGAGTGAACCGTAAGGTAAACTGTGGACTTTGGATGATTGAGATATACCAATGTAGGTTCATCAATTGTAATAAATGTACCACTCTGATGTGGGAGGTTGATAGGGGGGGAGGCTATGTGTCGGGGCAGGGGACATATCTAAGAGATGGGACATCTCTGTATCATCCCCTCGATTTTGCCGTGAACCTAAAACTACTCTAGGAAATAAGCTTATTTAAAATATATATATATATTTTTTAAGCTAGGATTATTTAGTGAATTTGAATAGTCTAATTTTCAGAAATCCATTATTATTTTACCCTATAATACACTTTTAATTTTACTTATATAATAGGTTTAATAAAGTTATAACATTCTAGATCCTTCTAAGATGAAAGAAAAATATATTTGAAATCTGAAATGCTTCCTGTTAAATGCTAGAAACAGAATGTGGGAAAAGAATAATCCAGGAGTTAATTAGCTTAAACTTAATTTAATAAAGCACTAAAGAATTGCCCCCAAATACTGAGACACCAGCCTTACTGGATGGATATGTCTTTTTACCAGCTCACTGGAAGTGACAATTATGTTTCATACTTTGGTGAATGGAAATTTTTTTAGCTTTGTGTATTCCAGGGTGCTTCTCAGGTCAGAAGCCAGGAATTCCAAAGCTAACCGCCTCAGGGGTTAGGTTGCAGATAGAGCCAAAAAAGGGTTCAAAATGCCTGTTGATGCCAGCAGCCAGCAGAAAAAAATGCCCACCATGCGACTATGGACTATGGAAGGTATTACTAGGCCTTAATCTGCAAAACTGAGGAAACAGAGTTCCAGCTGAAAAACTGGAGTAATTTATGACTGATTTTATTCATTCCAAAATGTGCCCAAAGAGGAGGGACAAATTACTGGTAATCTTTTCTTTCAATCTAAAAACTCTTCAGCAGGAATAATAAATCAGAAATATTTTCTATCAATTGTAAGTGATGAATATGCAGCATAAATAAGAAGTCTACAAATCCCTATTAGGTGAATTTATTTCCCTACTCAACTGTACTTACCATCCCGGGCCGGTGGAATCGTGGGAGGAGGAGGAGGCGTGGGTGGCTCTGTAGGGGCTTCTGTTGGTTTTACAGCTAGAATTTTAAAAATAATAATTAGAAAAATACATGTGCACAATTCATATCCCAAAAAGTAAATTTTAAGAGCAATTTAAGTCCTGGATAACAAATCAAGTCTTAGAAAATAAGGCTCCAGCATCATTGGCACTGGCACACAGGGGATTCTGTTCCATCCAAATCTGGTGTTATTGGTAGTCATTCAACATTGGCTACGGCTACAGAAAGCCAAGCAAAGATCCAAAGGGAGAACGTAAGCCCTTCAGATAGGGTCAAATGAGTCAAAGTCACTAATATGGATGCATATGCATCCTCCTCACTTAGCTAGAGCCATCTCCCTCCTTTAACCCTTCCTTAAAGTGGCACTAACCTCATAGCAGGGAAAACCTGCTATGAATTGAATCAGAAAAAGGTCCTAAACCAGCCTTAGATCCCACCCTCAGGAATTGGCCCTCATGCCATCATTACTGCTACCCAGAGGGAGTCACTTAAGTCTCCCCTACCTAGAGCATTCTATTCTGAAGCCTTACAGAGACTTTCCAGATTACTCAAAAACTTACTGGTACGTTCTTTGACAAGGACACCTGGTCCCTCAAGATTTGGTGTCTGCACAAAAACAGTGACGCCATAATCAGTGTCTGGTGAAAGGCCAGTGAAGCAGTGACTGGTTTCTGATCCACGCACTGTGATTTCTTGTCCTCTGGTTCCTGATGATGACAACAAAGGAAAATGCCACTGTCATCATCCATTTAAATATTTAAAGATATTTTTATATACCATCTTTATAAATAAAATGGCATCTTCTTCACTAAAGTTTAAAATGTTTCCACCATATTCTCCAGTTCGTATTTTCTTTACACACATACCGTCTGCGGGGCTTAGTTTTAGCCTGTAGGAGGTGGCTGCCCGGTGAGCTGACCATCTGACGCAGAATGTGTCCCACCCAATCTGGTAGGTTTTCAGATCTGTCACATTTAAATACACTACAAAATGAAGAAAGAAAGGAGTAGATTTACTTTGTAAATAAAGGCCAAAAAGAGCATACTTTTAATCATAACACAATTTTCAAACTTTCACTGTGGGTGAAAAATAAAACGGCTAAAATCAAAGTATGTTTCCTCACAAGAAATATCCATGAAACATACAGGAAAATGTGGTACAGCCAAAACAGACCTTCTTTTCCATTGCTGATTTTCAAGGAAAGGAAATTCCACATAGTCCTTCCCAAAACTATGAATGTCAAAAGTGTCTCATGGTAAAGAATAAGAAATTTTTCTGAAAGGCTATCTGCTAAGTCTTTAAATAGTTACCAGAGCATTTGGTGACAACAAAATCTATCTGTGGGCCAAATCAGTAATCATGATTCAAAAATTACGTCAATAAATTTAGGTAATATATCAAATGTCAAGAAAAACTAAATAGCATCACAGATCTAATTTTATAGATCATTCATGAATGAAATGACAATTTCTATAACTTTATCTTTTAAAATTCAAAATATAATATTCTATGGGAAATAGACACCATTTCCTCATCATATACATTTTTATATACTCAATTTTATCACTTATTAATTTAGATAGGTATTTTGTTTAACTGGACACAAATGGCTTGCCTACATTATGCTGAAGAAACATGCCTATGTTAAGAAAAAGTAAAATTAAAACAGGCTGACTGGGTCATTTGCATTATACTTTTTCTTACAACCATGAAAATATCCATGACTCACATGTTGTGCCTTGATCTGTCAGGGGGACACTGAGTCCAGAATCATACTGAGCGTAAACATTCACGTCATAGGTGGTGCTGGGATTGAGATTGTGTAAAGTGTATGATGTCACTTCTCCAACAAAGACTTCCATGGGCTCATTGGAACCTTTAATAACAATCACAAAAGTACACAGAAACATGTTATCACTAACCTCAAGTTTTGCTTAAATTTAAAGATCTTAACTCATAGTCAAATGGAAGCATGAACACCATTAATTCCATAGCCCCTCCTGTACCCGTTCACTACAGCACAAGCTACATTATGTGGTGAATATAAAACTGTAAGCAGAGACTGAATTCTTCACTCTCTTATTCTCAAAGTATAGCATAGTACCTAGAATGTAATAGGTATATAATCAATGTTCCTTTAGTGAATAAATGCTCAAGCCTCTTTTCTAAGCCCTACTTTGCCAGCATAGTGTTTTGCATATGCTAGGTGTTCAATTAACACTTTTTGAAGTGTTGTAGAGATGATCTAAGAATTTCTGTTTTGAACCTCACTCATATGAACCTCATTAGTTTGGTTGCTAAAAGTCTTCAGTTACCAACTCCTCTTTCTTCTCTAAGTTCTCTATTTCTTACACTGGTTCACAATTTCCTTTCTCTTGCCTTATCTCCTTCATTTTTTCCTAGTTCATACTCTGCTGGATGCATGGAGGATGCCCTAGTAAGTACAAGGGTGTTTTTCTTCCAATTCTGCCATGCATATAAATAGAACATAAAAACAAAAATAGCAAATAATGTAATCAAGGCGATATGATTTAGGTGAAAATGTCAGTGGGGATTTGAAAGCAAGCCTATCATGAATAAACTACAATGTATAAAATCTATGCACCAAATAAAACAATACCTGGACATAATAGGAAAAGTACAGAAGTTCATATTGGTTAAATATGCCTTATTTAATGATCATAACATATAGGATGTATAAAGATAAGCATCTTTGATTTGTGAGATTTTATGGATCAGATCAAACTTTCCAATCACAAAATTTAATAAGAATCTCATCTACATCCATAATAACAATCGAACTTTAGACCATTGGCTTAAAATGTTATTTCCAGAAACATTACCTCTGGTGAGAGGGCACTTTATGTGATAACTGAACTATCAGGAGAATCTGATAGTGGGGGATGCAAGAGAGAATAACCTCACATGTAAATAACCCTCCAAAGCATCTCTATGATGATAAAGGTGCTTTCTTACCTTCTGGCTTATACACAATTTTATATCCAAGAACTGGAGAGGGTGAAGGATCCCAGGACACCCTGAATCTCGTATACCATTCATCAGAGATGTGTATGTTCTGAGGAGGAAGCAGTCCCACTGCAAACAAATATTGGCACACATTACTGACCTTGCATTGGCACACAGGGAGAGCACAGAACTTTAAGAGTATTGATAGGGCAGCCCTGTGGGAGCAATTTAATATCCCATAATGTCCTTTTTCAGAAAACAATTAAAAGGCATGGAGTGTTCAACAAAAGCTTAGTCATTTCCAGCTAAAGCAGTCCTGAGAGGAAAATTTATATCCATAAATGCCTATATCAAAAAGACAGAAAGATCACAAATCAACAATCTAATGAATCATCTCAAAGAAATGGAAAAAGATGAGCAAACCAACCCCAAATCCAGCAGAAGAAAAGAATTAACAAATATCAGAGCAGAACTAAATGAAATTGATAACAAAAACTATACAGAAGATTAATAAAACGAACAGTTGGTTCTTTCAAAAATAAACAAAATTGACACTCCTCTGACTAGATTAACAAGAAGCAGAAAAGAAAGGACTCTAATAAGCTCCATCAGGAATGAAAAAGGAGAAATTACAACTGATACCACGGAAATACAAAATATCATCTATGAATACTACAAAAACCTGTATGTACATGAACTTGAAAATGTGGAGGAAATGGACAAATTCTTAGAAACACACAGCCTCCCTCGGCTCAGTCAGGAAGAAATAGAATTCCTGAACAGACCAATATCAAGTATGTTTTCCAAAGTCAAACGGCAACTCAAATGGACTCAAGATTGTTGATTTCCTTAGCAGGAGGAAAGATCCAGAGCTGCTATGTTTTATGGCTCAGAATTATAAAAAACAAAAGAGACCTCAGACTACATTTAAAATGTCATAGATGACAGATTGTCACAACCAAAGAGCAATTTAGAGACTATCTAGTCCAACCACTTCATCACATACACATGATTTTCCCAAGACCACATGACTAGCTAATGACTAAAACACTGTTCTTTCCCTACACCACTCTATCCTTCACCAACGTAACCTAGAGTAAATCCTTAAGCCTCCGTAGGTACTGCCCCCAAACCCACAACTTATAAAACCAGTGGTATTCAATTAGAATATTAAGTAGCCACTGAGATTATTATTCATAGCACTACACAAATAATGAATCCAACTTAAAAAACTTTTTTTCACAAGAGAAACTAGACATGGCTGTGGCTCTTCTTAGAAAATTCAAGATCTAGTAAAGATTTTTTTTTATATTTTGATAAGCACAAAATTCTGAAATACGCCATTTTCCCAGAGAAGTACCAAAATATATTCTAAAATCTGTAAGAAAGTGAAAAAAGGGAAGTTGTTAAATTAAAATCAGCTTGAGTCACTAGACTGATTCTCCACTGAGTCAGTTCTATGGACAATAGTATCAATAAATACAGATTCCTGACCTTGAGAGACTGAGCCGAATCAACTCTACTCCTGCTTTTCTCTTAGGAGCTTGCAAATGTTACCTCTCCCAAATTCTATAATGTTGTCAAGATCATTCACGTACAAAAAGAGTTTGGGCAAGTGAGTGTAGAAAGGATCCTGAAATCATGTTACCTTAGTAGATTATTGCTGAATGAAGTGGGAAAGAGTTATGCCAATATGTATCAGCAACAGAACTCAGACCTAGAGCTCACCCTGACTTTGTACTCAACTAGTAGCTCTCAGCCATGGCTGCACATGAATTAGAACATCAGCAGGTCCAGCCCACACCTCACACTAGTCACATCAGTATCTCTGGGAGTGGTGCCCAAGCATAAGCATTTTTAAAGCTCCTCAGGTAATTCCAATGAACAATCAAATTAGAGAATCTTTACATCGTAACAAATTGCCACCAGTATAGATTTAAAAAGGGGTGCCTGAACATTGACAATTCTTTGTAAATTACTTGATACAATAAAAATATTTATTTTTAAATTTATTTTAAATTTATTTTTAAATTTATAGACCTAAGCTGATTGCTAATCCTCTTGCTGCTTTATTTATGACTGGAGATTGAATCACAATGGAATATTGTTTACTGATACTGATATTGACTCAACAGCTATAGCCTTAACTGACACCACACAAATTAAAATATTATTCAGAGAATATGCAATGGTTTTCCAAAAAAGAAATAAAACTATGTCAAGCAAAGAAAAATATGCAGATTTTGTCTCCTTTTTCTTCTTTGTTTTAAAAACAAATGCTTTTCTGATGTTATCATTTTGACAAAATATCTAATATAAATGTTAATGCAAGATTAATACAGTATTTCAGATACATCAGTAAAGACAAAATTTAAGAATTTTAAAAGGTATAAGAAGCAACCTTAAAATTTTGACTTCAAAGAACAAAAAAAGGTATAAAACACTTACCAGTCCTTCCACTTCCTGTTAGATGGCCACCATCTCCATCTTCATAAACAGCAATAACAGTAATTTTATATGGAGTATCAGATTGCAGAGGCTGCAGTATTACATTGTTTCTTCTGCCTGGGACTGTGGTCTAGAAGGGGAGTTAAATTACAAATTTATTACCATCTAGAGGTCTTCTAAATCAAAAGATAATATTGTTTTCCATATTCCCATGAATGGTAATAATGTCTTCATATTTTCTTTTTGCTACACAACACTCATGGCAAGACAAACCATCTACACTGCTTCAGTGCAGCATGGGAGAATGGTTTTAGAGTCAGACAGATCTGGGCTCAAATCCCAGATCAGCCACTTAACAGCTATGTGACTCAGTATCTCTGAAGGAAATTGTGAGGATTAAAGGCAATGACACATACAGCACCTCAGAACACCTTACTGAGTACTGCAGCATTCACTAGTAAGTCTGTTTCCTTCATCTCTCATCATTATGCATATTGGCATGAACAAATATGTACCCAGTATCCACTGTGGACCAGGCGTGGTACACGCTGCTGAGAATCCATTGGTGAGCAAAAGTGGACTCAGTTTCTGCCCTCAAGAATATCAGCTTGGCTGATACTAATTAGATGGAAAAGATGGAAAAAACGAAATGGAAAATACATTCAACTACCTCCTCAAAGAGGAAATGAACTAGACATCTCTCAATCTCTCTTGTAAACCTATGCTTTGCTTCTACAAACAACATGGATCAATTATGTCAGTGATTCCCAGCCCAGAGTCCCATAACTACAAGTGAGAAATTGTATTTTTAATGCTTTCAGAAAGCAAAAGGGAAATTGCGTATTTGTCCACAGCAAGGCTGAACAAACACTAACCATGAGCTTCTCTGCTTTGGCAAACTAACTGTTGTAGTTCTGTTTATCTCATTTTGATCAGAAGCTCTAAATGGCAGTTACATGTGTTTCTTATTAATAAAAATGGGGACTTTCATTAAAAGTTACTATCTGAAGTTCAAGTAGATGAGACATTTTAACACATGAGGTCCATGGGGGAAAATGATCTAAAAGGATATATGTAGTAAAACAATGGCAAACCACAGACCCAACTCCTTTACAATCAACATTTTGTGTAATCTTCTGTGAACCTATCACAGCTATTAATCAATAAATTTCAAATAAAGTGGTCAAGTTTTTCCATCTGTAACAATGGATATACATAATGAGGACTATGGGCTCTGACAAAGCTACCAGAAACTTGAATCTGGTTCTGGAGAGACAAAATATCACACTCTTAGGAAAGTCAAGCATCAACTCTAATCACAGCATACTTCTAAAGGAGAAGTTTAACTACACCTTCCAACAAGCTAAGATTATAAAATGTGTCGATAAATGAGTATCAGACTTACATATTCATCAATTGGATCACCAACGGTCGGGGAATAGATGATCCTGTATTGGTGAACTGGCCCATCAGCGTGATCCCAGGCTACAGAGAGGCTGTTGGTTGTTTCCCCACTGACTCTCAGATTTCTTGGTCCACTCCGTGGTACTAAATAAAGAAAATACAGTAGGATTTGTTACTTGCCTACCAGCATTACTCAGGTCAGGTTAAGGAAGCTGTTTGCAGGTGTTTCACCATTCACTAAGATGTTCACTCCTTTATAATAAAATGCATATCTTCAATGGTTTTAATGTGAAATCATATACAGTATAAAGTGCTATATTTCAGAGCTACATTACATGCTGAACTTCCAGTGACCTAAAGCTAGCTTTAAACCTACATGTACAGACTAGGGAAGAAAGGGATTATTTTAACCACTATAACCACCTCCATTTAATGAAACACAGAGGCCAAGCCCTCACATTTCCAAAGTACACATTTGGTGAGAAGATCCACTGCAGGGGGAGGAAGGGAGGAAACTCCTCCTTGATTTATGTCCCAGATGAGAAAATGACTGAATGAAGTTCACTCAGCACAAAGGAAGTCATGGGCCCACAGCTTTAGCCTAGAATGTGGATACGTGGGAGCCCAGGCAGAATCCTATGCAGAGGGCTTACCCCCACCTGCGCAAAGGGAGAGAGCTCTCCACACCCCTCTCATCACCGCCCCCCACCCTTCACTCACTCGGAGGAGCCCTGCCAATCTAGCTACAAGGGAATGGGATGGAGAAAGGATTTCTGCCTCACGCGTTCGGCCCTGGGCAGGGCTAGGATTCCCCGGTCCATCTGAGTAGACAGCCACGATGTCCACAGAATAGAGTGTGTCTGGAATCAGCCGCTCCAGGTGCACTGTGCGGGTATTTCCTGGCACCACAATCTACAGGGGGGTGGAAGGATGCCAAATTCTGCCTGATGAAAACTCAAATGCTTACCAAGCCTTTAGTTAGTTAACATAATAATATTTATAATAAAAGGTTGAGCCCAGACACATCAGAAGCCATAAGATCTGCCCAGACCACACTCTTAGATGCAATTTATCCTCAGAAATTCCCTCTCCAAAAGAAGTTAGTTCATCCTTGACCTTTAGTGGCTTCAGTTATCTCCGTTTATGTTTATAATAAAGATTCTTAAATACAATATCTAAGGCTCATGATATTTACCAAAAGAACAAACTGCATGTTAGATACACATACGAGAAGGGATTCCCACACTGGTAGCGGAGAGATTTTGTGTTGAAATAGAGACTCCACGCAACGGATAAGGCTAAAGTTATCTGATTATGTCCCACCATACACAGGGACGTGAAAATCAGTATTCTCACAGAAAAAAAAAAGTGTATTGCTTACGATTTATTTTTGTCATTATTTATTTTTGCAAAGACTTGTAAGTTAGTTTATAAATTTACTTTCCCTTAGGTATTCTGATACTATCCTTATTCAAATTAGTAATTTCTCATTTCTAAATTGTTAATCTATTTCCAAAACTAAATAACATTGTGAATTAAAGATAGATTGGGCAATTTGTAAGAGCCAGAGAGGACAAACTTTAAGATATTTTCATAACAAAGACATTTGTACTTTACAACAAAACCCCATATTGATAAGGTTTAGTAATGATTTGTATTTATTACTGGGGTTTTTAACTCATACAGCTAATTTGCATTTTCCCAAGATTCTTTTTATTCTAACTAATCCTATAGTTAATACATCTACCTTAATTCATCAAAAACAACGATTTAAGCATTATATAATGGTATGTTTGTGGTTTGTATTCTCATAGGCTGCCAAACATCACATAAACATGCAACTATATTCAACAGGAAACATAGTTTCCATGACAAAATTGCTTACAGAGTCCGAGGGTCTCGTGCCAGCCACAGGGGAATACACAATGCTATATTGCTGCACAGGCCCAGGTGCAGGGTCCCAGCGAACATCAAGGCTGTTGGGTGTAGGATTGTACACTTGGACGTTTCTTGCCAGTCCTCTCACCACTGAGGAAATGAAAGCCAACACCTATTTTTTAAATCCATTTATACATGTCAAGCCTTTCGTATCGCTTTTCCAGAACCTACACTTTGTAATAGGATAAAATACTATTGCCTTTAAGCTTCTCACTACATACACACAAAAGCAGATTAAAACTCTCCAAATCCAAATTTAGTCAAAGTTAGCAACTACTGCCTTTGTCTACACGGAAGTGACATTGTTTTCAATAAAAATAGGCTAGCAAAAATAGCAGAACTGGACTGGCCATAAAGGGACATGGGACAAGGAAAAAGAAATAGGAAAAGGAGCTTCATTTTCCAACACAGGTAATGGAGAGAGGGAGAAGAGAGATTTTAAGAGTCAGCCATCTAAGTAAAATCTGACAACAGCTGTGGAGCCCATGTATTGTAATTCAGTCAGCTATTAAGAGTTTCAATCACTCATTCCTTCTCCATTCAACAAATAGCTACTAAATACCTTCTGTGGTTAAGAGAAAAGGCAAAAGGAGAGAGAAATAAGTTCTCAGTTAACTGCCCCTATAGAGACTCAGAAAAATCTACAAATTAAATCTACATACTAATCTCAAACTCTAATTTAGACAATAACATCATCTTCCTAGACCACTAATTTTTTACCAAATGGAGACATCCATGCTTCCTTCCTTTTAACCATCAGTATTAACATATTTTTAAAGCTAAGGAAATATTTATAAATCTGCACAAAGCCTTTAAGCAATACCATTAACACAAAAAATTATAAAACCACCATAAACTGATTTCTCAAATAAAAGCATAGATTTTTAAGACCAAAAAAGCACTTCAGCAAACCAGAGAAATGTGAAATCAAGTAATGTGCTGAACAGATTTCAAAAATTCACACTATGAAAGCCAATTACAAGCATTGCTTCACACAATTTATAAGGCACAAAGCAAAGCTCAATGAATTTCTGTCAGTGAAAGAGCATGACCAGTGGCATACTGATGTATATTACATTTACAAATCCTGAAATTATCATTGCAGAAGAAGAATGCCATTATGAATTTATTTCATATACCAAAATGTTAACACTTGGTGGTGTTTGGGAGATGAACTACGGGTAGTGTTTATGTTTTTAATTCCATCATTTGGAATTTTCCTAGTTTTCTCTAATGAGTCTACAGGGTCTTTATAATGAAAAGTAAAATTTATGATGAAAATTAATTTCTCAGCTTTTTTACTCACAAGTCCTTCCAGTATCTGATGTGCGGCCACCGTCGCCTTCAGTATAAACAGGAACTACTGTAACCGTATATGGGGTATCTGGCTGCAGGTTCCTAAGAATGGCATAATTGGTATTCCCAGGGATTGGTACCTAGAGATTGTAATAAAACATAAAGCATTTGATTTGAAAAACTTATAAAATAATACTTCAAACAATATAATATCAATTCAAGACCAAGTCAAGAAGCAAGTTCTGTAATATTGGGATGTAATGGTGTGCCCCCATATGAAGTGTTACAAAAGGTTGTATACTTCTCTATGCCCTACCAATGCTCCCCCTTTAGAACTTCCTGGAATGGCCACTTCTTCCCGCTCCAATCCTGCAATCTCTCTGCTACCTAGGCCCGAAGGCACCAACTATTTACCCTCCATCAAGTCCTATTAAATGAATATGAACTTCTTCGGCTCTAAAGCAAATTGGAGCTCTAAAACTCCAATAGTTAGCTCTAAAACTAACTACTTTAGTTCCATTTTTAAATCACTCAGCTAACAGTTTAAACAAACTAGCATTTTTCACTATAGGAAATAATTACCAGTTCCTCTGGACCACCTGCTGTGGGTGCATAGAAGAGCTTGTACTGACGAGGATTTCCCTCTGCATGGTCCCAGCGAACATTCAAGGTGCTGGTAGAAGGGTCATACACTCTTAGGTTCTTCACAGTATTCAGAGGTTCTGAAATGAACAGAAGTCACATCACAGTATAGTCCTAACAACCAAGCCCACACGGAACACAGGTTCATTAATATCTGCCGGGCACCCTAGAGCATAGCAGGCACCACACAAACATTTGTTGAAGCAGCGAATTAATCACACACACACACACAGGATCTGTTTCGATCAGGCGTATGTGTCTCCTCTATCCACAAGATACTTTGGGCCTCAAAGAACTTTTTTATTCTAGAAAGGAATAACATCTTTCTCTATAAATAGATAATTCCAAAAAAGGATGTTAAAAACAATATCATTTTTTTAATGAATTTTAAAAGATTAGTAAGACTTTGTATCACCCCAGTGCTTCCAGATAAAGATGGGATTCCATTCCAATGAAGAGTTGCTAAAGAAGCTACAGGAACTGTGGTTTCACTTACTCGTCTTGCCTCTTCCTGTCATCCGACCTCCTTCCCCATCCGGATACAGAGAGGACACAGTGATCGTGTAAGGTGTGTCCGGCCTCAGTTTCTGCAGCACGACACTGTTCTGCCGCCCTCCTATTGTGGTCTTGAGTAAAACAGGTCTTGATAAGCATTAGCCTTGTTCTCTCCATCTTACTAATATATTAAAAAAAAAAAAAAAAAGCTCTTTCTGCAGGGGAGCTATTTGAGACCCATGCCAAGTTCTGGAATCATGTACCACAGTGAAGCCTTAAAATATATCTTATGGTATAATTTTAAATGTAAAATATGCACCTCAATCACAAAAAGGATTCCAAGCTTTAAACTGGTGACCTCAAAAAGATATTTCAACTTGCTAGCCGCCAACACTGCAAAATCTCATCCAAAACACATTTCACAGCACTCTTCAAAAAAAAAAGCATTAATCATAAGTGAGCTACAAAGGGACTTTAAGATACCAAAGAATTGCATAATTTTCGAGGCTCCACACCATTCAGTATTATTCTTACTTTTTTTCCAGATGTTTTTTATTTGCTTTAGAAACACATTAAAATGATTCAGCAAAAGATCTAAAGCTCTTGGTGTTTCCCCCAAAACATTGTCACTCTGACAGCATTAGCTGTGTAAACTACGTGACCAGACCCTTTGCCAGGCCAGATTCAGGCAGGGGTTCCCAGTTGTCTCCATGATACCAGCCTTGTGGTATGAAGCTTTTCGATTTCCTCCAATTATGGAGTTTGCAGTTTTTTATTCATTGCTTAAGGCCATCTAGCTATCTTGTTGAAAGAAAATTTGTATGATTTGTTAACAGTCTACCAAATTCAGATGTTTATGCCATACTAATTAAAATCGCATGAAAATGGCATGCTGCCCACAATGAGTGCACATGTAGATGGCTGGAAGCGCTAGTGCAGACCAGATGTTTCCAACTTAGCGCCCATCCACTCAAGTAGCCTGAATGCCAGAGAACACGTCTGCAAATCACTGTAGTCACCCTCAGTAGGAGCAAATTGAACTACAGTGGCTAATTTTAATAAATTTCATATCTGAGGTTATGAGAGAAAAGTATCAATATTAGTGTAAGACATTTTTATAAAAATTTGATACATAACAAATCTGAAAGCATCTACTTAGGAGAACTAGTTTTATGAGTAAGCAGAAAGGTGTCTACCTACTTCTTCCACCTAATTCTCCAAAATAATGCTAGGGTTAGGGATTCATTACCTTGATGATTTCATCAACTAGCGCTACAATGCAAGGACTCCTAAGAATAATAAACCTTCAGGGATTTAATACTTTCCAGAGGATAAGCACTGTGAAACTTTTTCTAATGATAACAAACAGCCAAGGGGCAGTAAAAGAAACAGATGGAGCGTCAGTATCAACAAGAAGGAAAATGCTGAGGACAAGCTTCACCTGCTTCATAGTTCTATAGAAACCTGGCCTGGCATAGGAAAAAAGAAGTTCTTTTCTGAAATTAAAATACCAGTCCATCTAATTTGTTTTATCTTATTTTTATGTAAAAGTCAATTGATTACAGTTGATATTTAGTTTATTATTAATAATCTAACTAAAACAGACAAATTCCCAGTCCAAATACATCACACTACCTAAGACTTGGGCTATGGAAACCTCAAAAGTCACACTAGGGATGGGAGGGTTTCTGATTCAGCTAAGCTCACTTACCAGGTAGTACAGAGACCTTTAAGCACTCTCCTTTAACCCCTGCCAGCCTCTACCTCTGCTCAACACCTCTAAACTCGTAAGAGATAGGACCCATTTGCTTGAGCTCAGCAAGTCAGATGATTAAAGGTTAATAATGCATGTGTGTCTAAAGCTATATAAGTAAATATTATAGCCCAGAAAAAGTCAACAAAATTCTGGACCTCACCAATAGAGATATTTGAAATAAATCCAAAAGCATAACCCTCTCTGTGTAAAAACCATGGTGATTCCCGATTTAGGATAACATGTACAGTTCCAGTCAAACACTTCACAAAGTTAGAGAAAACCCAAAGACAGACAACTAAAGTAAAGAAGGTAAATAGACAAAGGCTCTATTAAATAAGAGTAGAGAAGGACGGTGAAGACAAAGATTGAGTTTACAATCCTACCATCTTTCTTGGGTACCTCCATTTGGATAATATAAAAATGATAAATAGCATGAATTAAGCAAAGAGGCTCCCAGATCTGGAAATACCAGATCTATAAAATACCCTATGCCATGCAAAAACCAGGTGAAAAAAGGAATAAATAAAAGAAAACAAACTTTATAGGTAAATTTAGTAAACGTTTGGCACTTAAGTTCAAAGAGATATTTTAAATATCTACATAGACTCAAAAACTATCTAGATACCTTCATGGATAATCCAGCCCTAATAGTTTTTAAGGGAAATGTGGATGCTCTGAAGCACATGCCTAATGCTTTGAAGCTATTATGAAAAGCAACTATTAATATCACCTCCCATGAGAGCATCTGCTGAGTCCCCACGATGGCGCTCCAATGGAGTGCTGGCTAGAGGGTTAGATGATTTCACCCAATGCAATAAATCTTACATCCCTTAAAATGGCAAGTATGACTAACTAAACATTGAGAGTGAAAAAAACTGAAGAGAAATCGGCAGACTTTATCCAAGTTACAGTTTTTATAAAACAAATTACCGTTTGTTCATTGCCTTCCCCTGATGAAGGCTGATAAATGACTCTGTATTTCTGCACACGACCACTAGCAGGATCCCACTTAACAGTCAAGCTGTTAGATGTTGCATTGTACACCTGAAGGTTTCGGGGGCCACTTTTTGGAGCTGAAAGAAGATCGTTGAAAAACAGAGTCATCGCACAGAACAATGCCTCCCCCTCCAAAAAAAGGATATACAGTACCCAAGAAAATCAAGAGAATTACATACTTCTAGGTTTCGAACTAAATTTGATCCCTTAATAGAGATGTCATTGAATCTTAAATGATGCCTTAGTATAGACTGAATGTGCCCCCCCAAAAATGATATATTGAAGCCATAACCCCCAATATGATGGTATTTAAAGATGGGGGCTTTGGGAGGTTATTAGGGTTAGATGAAGTCATGAGAGTGGGGCCCTCATAATGAGATTGGTCCTTATAAAAGGGGACACGAGAGAGCACGTTCTCTTTCTCTCCACCACGTGATGACACAGCGAGAAAGCAGCTGACTTTTTAGCCAGGAAGAAAGCCCTCACCAGGAACCGAACCAGAGAGCACCGTGGTCTGGTACTTCCCAGCCTCCAGAATTGTGAGCATATAAATTTCTGTTGTTTAAGCCATCCAGACTGGTAGTTTGTTACGGCAACCTAAGCTGACTAATACACTCCTCAACAAGTGTTAGCAAAACAAAACTTTTCAAGAAAGACTGTTTAAAAGAGGCCCCAATCAACACCCTACAATTTAAATGCAGAAGGACTATTCATAATATACTTATAGTATTTTTCACTCATTTATTCATTCATCTGTTTATTATTTGTTCATTCAAACAATTCAAATTAAGCAAATTAAATTCTTACCTGGTGTTATGGTTATCAAACGAACTAAAAGAAAACAGAATTTGGGGAAACATTATTAATCTAGCTGTAGCTCCATTTTTTAAAAGCAACTTTAAAATGTCAATGTCCTATTTGAAAGCTGAACACCTACGCGTGCGCTCACTGCCAGTCAGGTCATCACTCTCTGACTCATCAGGGTAGATGGCAGTAACAGAAACTTCATAGAGAGTGTTGGGGTTCAGGTTTTCAAACACCAAAGTATTTTCATCTCCATTTAAGATGGTCTTGAAAAAAGAGAACAGAAACATCCACACAAAATTGAAGCTCCACTTATATCATACACACTCGATAGTAGCTTATTGATATCATTTAGACAGATGTTCCTCCTCCTACTTTGATGCATGCCATGAGCTAAAATGGCAGCAGTAGGAAAGGACGCTTATCTGGTAACAGGAGTATTTGAAACAAGCTTCCCTAAATGAAGTGGGGCATGAGGCAGGGTAGGGAGGGAGAGAGAGAGAGAAAGAGAATTAACACTACCTCCATCTTATCTGCGCTTCCAAAAGGTGCCCAGGTTATCCTATAGAGAGACACATCTGAAGCTCCATGATCCCAAGTTCCTCTGAAACTCTGTGGTGTTACATCAGTAATTCTTAGGTTTGTTGGGGCTGGCACAGGTCCTATCACGAGAAAAGGCAAGACTAAGTTTTTGAATGTGAGCTACAAACTTATTATAAAAGAATGGCCTTGTTCCATTTTAATGGACCTGGGAAAACTGATTGACTACATTGCTAAAAACCAAATATTTTACCAAATCAGTTCATTTGAAAAATAAACATAACATAGAGCTCTGGAAACTGTAAGTATTGTATGGATATAGTAAGTTATTATTGATATTCTATTAAAATGATTATTTTTAAATACTCTTCTAAATCAGTGGTTTCTAACCTTTTGTGTCTCCAACTTTTTGAGAATCTAATGAACACCATGGACTCTTTCTCGCAGCAATCCACAAAGTGCAAACTCTGGCATATATCAGAGAGCCCATGGACCTTCTCTAGTCCATCAGTGACCTCAGAGACACACATGGACCCTGGGTTAAGAGGTCCTCTTTCTTGCCCAAAAATGTCATAAACTAAGCATCTACTATATTTTTCACTCAAGATCATGCCCAAGGAAATATTTATTTGTTGTTCAGAATTTGTTGTTCTAATACCCAAAAACTGTTTTATTTTTATTTTTTAAAAAATACACATATCACTGCTGTTTAAAAATGAGAATGTCTACCTTGCTTTAAACAACACTAAAAGTATTACACCTTGACAATTGATTAGAACACACTTGCCTAATCATACAGAGAATTCCAGCTTAGGAGTTTTACCACAGGAAGAAACTCTGAACATGTTATGATCCAAGTAATCCATGCATAAGCTTTTCCCTATAGATCACAATATGCACCAGACTAGACCAGCCATATCCAGAGAAGAGAACACTTGGGGATCCAGATGACTGCTGAAATCCCAGCTCACAGCCCAGCCATTGACCAGGCACGCTGGTTGGTCTGCAGCACACGCATTTTTGAATGTCTGCCACCAGTCCTGAGCTTTCATTGTCAATTATTTCTCTATCTCCTGGTAACCAAAGCCAACTACACAAAACCCTGGGCCATCAAAAATTTGTTCTAATAACTACAATGAAAAGGCCCATTGAGATAAAGAGAGTGGTACTACTTCCACAACCACAACTGCAAAATAAATCAATTATTAATACTTTGGATGTATCTAAATACTATTGGTAAATCTTATGGTTTGAAAAGATATATTGAAAATAGTAATCTAGCATACTAAATTACCTATTTCACTAGCCTTTTTCCTGACTTCCTTTTCTCATTACTATAATTATATTATGTTTATGCAAAACTGTCAGGCTACTCATGTAGGTACATCAATTCTCATCTCTAGCCATGACTTCTACCAGACGAGAACCAATGCCAAGAAGATGATTGGAATTGCTAAGAGATCTCAGGTAGTAAGAAAATAGCAGAGTCAAAAAAGAAGAACAGGATAAGCCTGAAGTTAAGGGGCAGGTTGTGACATTTGACAAGATACCTGCTCAGTTATAGACAGCTGGGCAATAAGAAGCCGTTGAGTCCTTGGTGAGAGATTTACTGGACAGGAGGTAAAAGTTCCAGACTGTAGCATTGATCCCACCACTAGATTACTGAATAAGGCTGGGCAAGTCATTTAAATGCTCTAGAGCCATGCTGTCCACTATGGGAGCCACTAGCCACATGTGGCTATTGAGCACTTAAAATGTGGCTAATCTGAATTGAGATGTGCTGTAAGTATAAAATATACACTAGATTTTGAAGAATTATTACAGAAAAAGTGAAATATCTCATTAATAATTATACTGATACATGTTGAAATGATAATATTTGGGATACACTGGGTTGAGTAAAACACTATTTAAATTAATTTCATCTATTTTTACCTTTACTAATATGGATACTAGAAAATGTAAAATTTGGTATGCAGCTGTCTTATTGGGAACACTGCTGGATCTAAACCTCGACTTGTTTTTAAACCACTATTTGGATTAGGTAACTATGGGCTGAGCACCAGATTAGGTAATTATATGCTGAGGTCTGGATTAAGTCATTATGTGCCAAGCACTGGAGATACAAAGTCGAGCAAAATAAAAGTGAATGCCTTCCTTAGGAGGGAGCAAGGGAAAGTAGAATAGACAGAAAAAGACCAACGGGCTATAATAATTGGGTTAAATACTATGGAAGCACCATGAGAGGGAGAGACACTGACACCCCTGGAAACTGGGGGAGAATGGAGCAGGAAGGAGAGGCCTTGGCAGGCTGCCCTGGGTCTCCGCCACCACTCCACTTGCTGGGGCAGTCTCGCCTTCCTCTGAAATCCGACAGTGCACAGTCTGAGTGTTGCTCACCTGACCTTTCTTACACGATCTCATGTATTATTAATTATTTTTTTATCTCCACAAATGTATCATGAGCTGTTGAAAGCAAAGACGCATGTTTTGTTACCCCGATATCACTTTACATATAGTAAGATTTCAAAAAATATTTGATAACTAATGCATCATTTCCAGAGCAAATGTCAAACTCAAATCCAAGAACATGCTTTTCTTCCCCATCCGACTTCCTACACACATACACACACACACACACACCCCAAAATAGTTGGAAGAAGAATTAGTGACAGTGGCTGATAGAAAGTATCATAAAAGGGGGCTGGGCATAGTGGCTCAGGTCTGTAATCCTAGCACTTTGGGAGATCAAGTTGGGAGCACTTGCTTGAGGCCAGGAGTTTGAGACCAGCCTCAGCATGAGCGAGGCTGTCTCTACAAAAAGTAGGAAAAAATTATCTGGGGCTGGTGGTGCACACCTGTAGTCCCAGCTACTTAGGAGCCTGAGATAAGAGGATCACTTGAGCCCAGGAGTTTGAGGTTGCAGTGAGCTGTGATGATGCCACTGCATTCCAGCCTGGGTGACAGAGCAAGACCCTGTCTCAAAAGAAAAAAAAAAAAAAGTGTCATAAAAGAAATGGATACAAAGATAGAAGATGGGACACTTCCTAAAAAGGAAATAAGTGAAAAGCAATCTATGAATCCAGACATTATTAAATACTGGCAAAAGTAGCATTAACAAATGAAATGACCAAGTAAGTTGAGTTGCACGTGCATGTAAAGGATTGTTTCTCAATTATCAGTAAAGCACAACTCACGGGTAGTTTCTTGAGCAGTCACTGGAGGAGACTCCCCTTCATCATATACTGCAGAAACACTGACTGTATACTGGGTTTGTGACAATAGGTCTTTGAGAGAGATGCTCGTCTCTGATCTGTCCACATCTACCTGTAATAACAGAGCAATGGAACTACTTTTACAAAGGGTTTAGTTTTGAAATCTCTCTGTTGTTTGCTGTATCTTTAAGCACAAGAACATAAAAATTGTGATAAGAAAAAAAGTAGTGTTTTCCAATTTGCGTAAGAATCTAGAAACTGGACACAATGTAAATGTTCCCAAAGTGGAAAAAATGTACGTACTGGAGCCACACCTGACACTATTGTCTAGCAAATAATGACTGCTTACGGATTGAAACAAACTAATCATTTTCCACCTGTTTTTCTTTGCTTTATTTCTTTAGTTCTCTTGCGCATGGCATTATTTCATTTGTTATGTACAAGAACCTGGGAGATTCACCAGCCATTGTACCCCCTTTTAAATGGGAACACAGAATGAAATGAATGTGTGCACGTGTACAAATTAGATTTTGTAGAGTTCACAAATGACCAGCAGAATCAGTAACTTAGTACTTAGAGAAACTATTCCTATGCTCCAAAAATGCCTCTCAGATTCCGACATTAAAACTCTCTCAAGCACACACAAGTTATAAACCTATTCGCTGGTGAAACCCCCTTAATTTGCTCCCACTTTGAATCAGGTTGCCATAGAAACAGCTCTTCTTTACTCCAACATCATCTCAAAAATGTTCACTCCTAAAGGGACACTCCTCTAATGGCATATTCCTCCTTTCTCTCTGTCCTGCTAACTGTCTTATCTTCCTATTATCTGCCAAACTCCCCCTATTCCTTCCCGCATTATCTTGCTACCTTTTATTTTTAGAAACACTATGACATTTTTTAGTAATTCATAGAATGGGATACACCATATAAGGCAACTGGATGAGAAGGAAATACCATTTAGATTCTATAACTCTTTATCTACTAAGGGATGATGTTTTTGAAATGACTATCACACAGGAAACATTTCTAAACTAAATACAAAACAGTCCAATGTATTACTGATTTTCAAAAAGTATTTAATATCACAAGTTTTCAACAATATATTAATAAAGTGACAAGTATTCAAAACATGCTATCATCTATACTTGATAAAGTTCTTTTGTTAAACCTACCAGGAAAACAAATATTTTCAAATCCTTTCTAATCTTCGACCTACCTCTTTGACATCCTCTTCTGGTGTTTTATACTGAACAACGTATTTACGCACTTTTCCGGGCACAGGTTCCCAAAAGACATTCATGGTGCTGTGAGTCACATCTCTGAGTTTCAGATCTTGAGGTCTGGGTAAAGGCACTGGAGAAGCAGGAGATATTAGATCCAGATGTGCTTCTCAACCACAACGCTCTAAAGCATCCACACAAGCTTTCAAGAAGATGTCTAAAGAAACCTTAAAGGTGTATAGCAAAATAACTGCAAAAAAAAATGATTATGATGGTAAAAGTACCATGATTCTACCAGATAGAGCTGAATTCTTCTTAAGGAAGTTTTTTAAAAATAGGATATATTTAATATTTTGTTATCACACTGCTAACTCCTCATTCATAAGTTAATCTTCTTCCATGCTATTTAAATAAGCTTTTACTGGCTGCTCAGCAATAATAAATCCTAATTCATCATATGTAGCTCATATTTAAATCAGTTAGTATATTACTAGGAAACAAAATCAATAAAGTTATGCTCCCTTAAGAATGTGATAATAAAACAAATGCTTACAAGAGTGAATGAAGAATGAAGATGAGCCAACATCAAGCATCCAATAAGCTTATAAGAAAACCCACAGAAGCCTAATTGGTTAGAAGAAAATCCAAATGATATACTTTTACCAAGCCTAACAAAACTTTACCTTAGAAAAGAGGGAGGATGACAATGAATAAAGAGATTTTCTCTTGTTATATGAGACGTATCTCCCTCTTTCTAGCTGCCCATTTGACCACCTTTCTTCGTCTGTCATTTTGACTCTGTGCATCTCTGTTCCTGAATCTCTATCTCCACCTCCATGTTTCTGCACTTCCATCTCCAATGCTTTTGTCTCTCTGCGTCTCTCTCTGCCCTCTCTTCCTCCTCTGCTGCAGCCCAGCACCTTACCCGAACTCGTGACCGTTCAGCCCACTATGACTCCTGGGTCTTCTTTCTCAGCACCCTCAGAACATGTGTCTCCATCCCTGGCTGGCCCCTGCCCTCCTGCCATCTGCCACCACCCTATTTCCATAAACCCACCAGCTCAGGACAGGGTCTAACATATAAAAGATGATTTTAAAATATTTATTTGTTGTCAATAAATTTATACTGATCCACCCTGCCCAGGCTTTTTCTCTTCTCTCCCTCATCTCCTCGGTCCTTTTTCCCCCTTGAAGTTCCTTCCAACTTCTTAATTTCCTTAGAAATGTGGGCTGAGACTCACCAAACTTAAGCCAAGTCATCAATCCCAGCATGTCCACCTCTCCAAGCATGAAACAAAATACCAGCTGGGGAAAGCAAGGGTGCTAAGTGCAATTATTGTCACTTTTCAAGAAAAAGCACCTCAATGCTTACTGAAACAAGCTGGAAGCACAAAAGCGTCTGACTAGCACACATACAAGAGAAATGCAAATCATGACGGAGTTCATATGCTCTATACCACTTTGTATTATTTAGTGGTATATTCCCAACGCCTAGCCCAGTGACTGGCATATAATAAGTGATCAACATCTTTTTGGATTGGGTAAATTGACTAATTCAGTTAATTAAAACAGACTTATTGGTGTGTGCCATGGAGTTTCTATTTCAACATGAACTTGGAGCATCTTGATCTTAAACCAAATATCTTCCTCCAAAACTATATTCACTCAACATTCCCATTTTCACCAATGCTATATACCATATTTCATGGATCCAGGACAAAATCAATCATAAGATGCACTATTATTTTATATTCTATGTCCTGATTGACACCTGACCAGGAGCAATAGTAAGACACCATTGATTGTAAGATAAATCCCAGTATCAGGCATATCAAATGTGAAAAAAAGAATGTACATCTTAGAATCAATTTAAGATGTTTCCATAAGTCTAGAATTAAAATATTCATTCTCAAGTTTGGCTGTCAAAAGTAATAACTCTGTAACTTATACACGAATTATCAAATTATTGTTAACATCATGTGAAAGAAATATTCTAATGAATGTTATGTTTACAACAATAAGAAAGGAGGGAAAACTAGCAGTAGCTTACAGGTGACTTGTCGAGCAGTGACAGGTTCACTAGTGAGGTCATGCAGGGCAGCCTGGACTGTGACAGCATACTCGGTGTTGGGAGAGAGGTCAGTCAGCTCTACATCATTCACCGTCGGCCCCACACGCATCTGCATACAGATGTGCCAAAGGGAAATAAGACGTTCAAATCAAGCATTTCCACTTACTGGGAATAGCCAATTGAAGCCAATTTGTAACCACTAGATTAGAATACAACTTTTATTTTTCATTTATAAAAATTGCATTTCCTTTCGCATGCCCATGTTTTCTAAAATGTGTCACAGGCCATGAACCTAATTTTCTACTTTTCTGTTACATGTGTAAAGTTATAAATTAGTTCACAAGTAATTTCAGTATACTGAGGACTGTAACACTGTAAAATCTGAGGTAGAACCAATGTTAAAGAAATAGATATCTCTTACCTCTTTGGGTTTTGTCAGTTCTGCTACCTGAGTGGGCTCGTATGACAAGATGTAGCCGGTAGCTCCCCCCACGGGCTGCCATTGCACATGCATGGTGGTGGGGCTGACATCATAAATGTTCAGGCTGACCACAGGGACTGGCACTATGGAAATGTAAAAGCAAACATCAGTTTCATTCCTTTCATTCCACTTATTTTTTAAACCATTGTTTCCTACCTAATTATTGATATTTGTATATGCTAAATAGAGAATGGGTAGCTACGAGAAATCAGTAAGAGTTAATATAATCTTTCCCATTCACCCTCAAAATACCCAATCTCATCGTTCATTGCACTTCATAATCAGGACTGCTTGTTACAAAACTATATCATAGAGGGAAAAATGTTAAGATTCCAATTGCAAATGACATTCCAGTGACTATATGGAAGCCAAAAGAGATGCCAACTCTCTGAGACTATAATCTCTTTTTCTGGAACATCTAGTTCCAGAAAAAACTAGTTGACTATTTTTATTCTTCAATCATAGAACTTCATACATAAGTAACCAACAGAGTATTTTTTAATCTTTCTTCCAAAAAATAAATTTAAAATGAGAATGTCATACATTAATAACTGGAACATAGTGGATTTATAGCTTTTTGAAGACAAGTCCATGAGGCAGAGTAAAAAGTTTACAATCTCTTGTTAAAACCCATATTGCATCAAAGATTGAGTTTAAAGTTTTAAGGAATTATCAAGTTAATCCTGCCAATTATAAAATACTTTATTTCCTGCCTCCTACCATCTAATACAAAAGGGTATGAGGGAAGAGATAAGGACCTAAGGAACTGAGCAGTACGTGGGTGGAGTCAATCTCTCCCTAGAAGGAAGGAAGATATTCACTGCTTCCTCTAATTAGTGGCTGTCTTTCTTCTGCCTTGAACCCAACCAAGAAGCAAGAAGGAAAGAGTATTTTCATATGGTCTTGGAAACCCTACCAGGAATAGGAGCGGGAAACATCTCCCCCAAAAGCTCTGCTCAAAGTCAAAGCCCTTAGAGCTTCTCTATTCAAGGCCAAAGGCCAGAAAGAAAGAGGAGATCTCATTGCCAGCAGGGAGATCTGGCCATCAGCAGAGGTGAAATAGATCATCTATACACAGCTCCTCTTCCTAATCTTAGTGTCACTTCCCACATGGTAGCTTTCCTCATATCTTACTCCTGAAGAGCTTTGTTCCTTAATAAAATGTCACCATAAAGCAATCAGAATAAGGTTTAAAGTATTATCGCTGAAAGGTATATTTGCATTTTAAGAAACTTTCTTGAAAGCATAAAGTTTTAATATCCTAAGAAGTGAATAACCCTATTAAAAGTATTTTTCCCTCTATGGCTGTGTGCAGTGGCTCCCGCCTGTAATCCTAGCACTCTGGCCAAAGAGGGAAGATCACTTGACATCAGGAGTTTGAGACCACCCTGAGCAAGAGTGAGACCCCGTGTCTACAAAAAATAGGAAAAATTAGCTGGGTGCGGTGGTTCATGCCTATAGTCCCAGCTACGCAGGAGGCTGAGGCAGGAGGAGCCCAGGAGTCTGAGGTTGCAGTGACCTATGATGATGCCCCTGCCCTCTGGCCAGGGAGACACAGCGAGACTCTGTCTCAAAAAAAAAAAGTACTCTGTCTCAAAAAAAAAAAAAGTATGTTTCCCTCTAAATTATTATGGCCATGACCACCCATTCCACCACTAGGATCCCCTGATGGCAGGAGCAGCCAGCAAGAGCATAAAATAATTTGGAAGGCTGGCAAAAATCATACATGGGCCATTACCTCTTATCTTAGAAAATTGTAAAAAATGAGAAAATGTTTTTATTTTTTAAAAATCTGACTTACAGGTTTTTTCTGTGCCCTTCAGAGGCTCACTATATTCATCTTCTACCACGGAATACACATTAACGACATACTCAGTTTCAGGCTTCAGATCTTTTAGCACTGTGCTAGTATCCAGCCGACTCACATAAAACTAGGGAAAAAAATCATAACAAGTTATATATAATCAGTTCCCTTTTTCTACTATACTTACAAAGTAGTTAACTGCAATGAGCTTAGAAACTATATTTCAATGAGGCCATTTTCTTGCTTTTGGAAACCACCAGATTTCGATGAGATCTTGGACAATTCATATAATTTTTTCTCCCAGCTGTTGTTTCCTTATTTGTAAAATGAGTGGGTAAATAATAAATCATCTTTAAGGTTTCTGCCAACTCTATGATTCTACTATGAACTCATGAATAAATCAAGCATCTTCTAATAAAATTTTAATGAAAAAATCATATTGATATTCTGCAACTCTTAGAAACCAAAACAATTTCAACAAAGCTCTTTCCCTTTAACTAAGCCCAAATGGGCTGCCTTGCAAAATCAAGAATAGAAAGCACCATTCTTAACTCTGGTCTGCCCTTCTCTTCATCCCTCTTGCCCCTCACCCAACATTATTCTCAGAGCCTTCATGCAGAGGACCCAATCTCAACATCAGGAAGGACTGGGTGGTAAGTGCTGCCTACTCACTTCTTGACGTTTTCCTCCAGAAACCGGGTAGTATTCCACCTTGTATCGATCCACATTGTCAGAAGGAGGTACCCAGCTCACTCTAAAAGAACGATGGGTTCGCTCAGAAATAACTAAGTTAGAAGGTGCTTCCAAATCACCTATACATGGAAATAAAGTGCATACACTTTTTTCATTATTGTAGCAAGGTGATGAATTTTGAAATTACATTGAACCGGTATTATGCTCTGTCTTTCAAGCTTGTACACACTTCCTCTCACATATTAAGTAGCTACAATAAATCAGTAAAGAGGCTCATTGCCCATATGACCTCTCTGTATGGATAGCCAAAGGGTTCTTTAGCCTCAGAAGATTCAAACCAGAGCTCACTGTCTTTCCTTAAAACTTGATCCTCCTCTTCCTTAAGAAGTTTACCCATTTTCCAGTTGCCTAGACTCGAAACCTCTCGATCATCTTTGTATACCTTCTACTCTTTCTACCTTTGTATATATAGCCAATAAATAAGAATTCAGGTCCTGACAATTCAGCTTCTCCATTGTTCCCATCACTATTGACACAACCCAACTTCACGGCCCTCATTATAATTTTGATTATATATGTTCATGTCTTATCTCCTTAACTAAAGGTTATGCTCTGTGAGGACAGAATCAGTATTTTATTCATGTTTAGTTCCCTTACAGGATCTAGCTCAGTAGAGAAACTGACAACTTTATCACTAAAGAGATAATGAAAGCAAACAAGTATTTTAAAATTTTGGAACATCCTACTGCCTGTAATTGAGCTCTCTGTGGGTGGCTATAGGTGAAATGACTAATACGTAACAGTATCTAGAATAAATATTGATAAAAATAGAATTATTAAACCCAAGTTGGCCAACAGGAAGATGTCCCAAATAATAATTTAAAGAGAAAGAAATTAATCCAATGACTCCATGAACATGACAAATCACTTTCATATAAACTCTTTCTACTTCCTTTGCAAGCCAAAACTGGGGAAAGCATTTCCATTCTTAGTATCCTAACCTTTATTGTACTTGGGTCATAGTCAAGCCTACAAAATCATCAAGCAATTTACTGTCTCAGAAACTAGAATGAATGCAACTATTACACAGTTGATAAAAAAAAAAAAATAAAGGAAAACAGATAAAAGATGTTTTCATCCCACTCAAAGTTCTCTCCAACTGAATAAGACTACAACTCCTTCAGCTAATCCAGAGCCAGAAGCCTACTAATTCTGGCTGCCTGGCTGGTCTATTTCTCCGGGGAAAAGGTCAGTCTGTTGTTCAAAATCTTAAAAAAAGAAAATCTGCAAAAGTTTGGGGAGATAAACTCAAGAAGGAACATTCAAATAAATGTATCCCCAGTACCCAAAGCATGTGAACCATTTCTACTACATTATTTGTTAAACTCTTTCCAACTTTTCCAAAACCAGAATAAATTAATGAAGGAAAGTTTTTACCATAATCTACATGTACTTAAAAGGAACTTTTCTCATCTTATAAGGACCATAATTTTTATCATTAATTTCCAAAAACCTTCAAATTTGGTGCTTACCATGCTTTGCCCTATGATTTACACAGATAGTAATCATTCTGTCTACCCTTTGTCACTACAAATCCAGTTCTCTAATTTTATTTCTAAATCCTAATTCCTTACCCATAGCTACCTTTTTCAAAGACCACTAAAAACATCCTTAACCATTTCACCCTCATGAAGTAATTTACCTTCTCTAGATCTCAGTTTCTTCCCTGGTAAAGAGAGATTATGTAATTTCTAGAGTCTAAACTCTAAAACTATAACTTCTCTATACATTTAGGAATTACAAGTGTCAAGTATCAAATATGATCTTCTATAGTTTAGGCAAAGCAAACTAGACATAAGACCCCTCTTCCATTCCTACTCATATTAGGAAAGGTAAAAAAAGGTACCAAACTTTAGAAAACAAAAGTCTGGGAACAACCACCTGACAGCAACACAATAATTAAATAGAGTGAAGATTCTTTACTAGAGAATATACACCAGAAAAGAAAGGATCTCTCTTTCTCTTTCCACCCCTATTTATATACATGTGGGGTGTGTGTATGTGTGTGTGTGTGTGTTTGTGTGTGTGTTATGCAGGTACATATAAACTAAATGTATCCTTAAATAAGCTAGAAGTCACTTTCTAGTTTGGTGTCATCCCAAGAAACAAAGCAGTGATCCTCAACTGGGGACAGTGTTTCCTCCAGCAGACATTTGGCAACATCTGAAGGTATTTTTATTTGTCACACTCAGCGGATGCTACTGGCATTAAGTGGGCAGAAGCCTAAGACAATGGTAAACATCTTACAGTGCACAAAACAGGCCCTTCCACTCACACAAAAAAGAATTATCTGGCCCAAAATATCAACAGTGCTGAGTGTGAGAAACCCCAGGCTAGACTTACCTGGACCTTTGACACTATTACACAAGTTAATGGTGAGATCATCCACAATCCTAGAGAGTGACTCAAAGTCTGCCACATTGTATGCATGGGTATCGTCAGGGTCAGTTGCAATCATCTTTAACTCAACTTCATCAGCATTTTTAATACCTTGGAAAATTGATATATGCAAATTAAAAGCAACTCCTCAGGAAAAAAAATTAATAGAACAAAGCAAATGTTTTAGGGCTTTCTTAATTAATGGCTGATTTAGGCCAACTATGAGGGTTCAATAATTTATTAACTAAAGCATATGTTATTTTCTTCAATAATAAAATGATTACTAATCTATAGTTATAAAATAGAAACAAAGAATATAAACTGAAAGCTATTCTAAATTGCCATCTTCTGAATGCGTCTAGAACCAATTTCCCACCAAAAAGTATCTTTTCAGTGTTTTTTCTGAAAAATAAAATAATGGATATCAAAAATAAACATGGTTCTGTGGAAAACCAAATAGGAATTTTCCCGAATCCTCTTAATAGCACATTGTTCATCTTGATCCATTACTTTTCTTCTAAGAAACCATGTAGTTTTGTCTCATTACAAGGAGAAAAGAAAAAATGAATTAACTTTCTAGACCATCATTTTGATAAATTTTGTGATAGGGAAAATATATTTGTTTGTTTCATGCTACAGATAATATTTTTAACTACAAAAACATCCCCAGCACATTTGTAACCGCAGGGGCATCGCTATCCTTTTCAACACTTACCAATAGCAAACAGCTCCACGCCTTCATCCTTGAGTTTCTTTGAAGGTGCCTCGACATCATCTTGTGATTTTCCATCAGTAATGAGAACACCAATTTTGCGAGCTCGAGGCCTCATGCCAGCTTGGGTTCTGAAGCTCTGCTGGCGAATGAAATTCAAAGCCATGCCTAGTGGGATTTTAAAAAGAGAATCAATCGCATCACTACTTGGCCACATGCTTTGACCAAAAGCACCAGCTGAAAGAGCTCCCGACTGTCCTTACTCACCTGTGAGAGTATTGCCTCCTTTGTATGGTAAGTTTGCCACAGCTTGCAACAAGCTATTCTTGTCTCTGTGAGCATTTAATTGCCACTCTGTTCTGGGGTCTCCACTGTACTGAGCAAGGGCTAAAATAACAAACACCATTGGGATTAGCATACGTAAAGGAACAAAATGAGTATGTCCGAATGTCTTCAATATTGTCAGAACCTACCAATTTGTACTCTTTTGGGGCCGATCTCAAAGACTTCCACAATACGAGAAATGAAACTTCTCACGGTTCTGAAATTTGCCCGGCCAATGCTCCATGATCCATCCACCAGCAACACAATGTCTGCTTCAGCTCTAGTGAGACACTCCATCCCTGACACAGCAATCGTGAGACAAGGCAGTAAGGAGCAAATTGTTGGCAGGGTTACTTCCTAGACATGCCTCTACCACTCCTTGGATGCTCAGTGTTGCCTATTTCAGATATAGTAATATCTTAGCTCAGTGATTGAGAGTATGAGACTCTGACAATATATCCATGTGATTTATTAACCTCAATTAACTGTCATGAGAATCAATTCATCCAAAGATTATTTCAATGGCCAATCTTTCCTTCATTTTTGACTACATTTTCTTCCCACCTTCATAGAACCTGGAGACTTGAATTACACATCGTTGTAAATTTGATGGGCTCACAAACACAAGAGCTGAAATAAATGAGAATGTATAACTATCTAACTATAAGGCATTCATAATTTTAATCAAATTTTAATGTGATCTAAAGATTAGATGTTGCATTCTTCTACAATATTTAATGGTCATTAGCAGACAAGAATGATAAAATCTTTAAACTAGAAAAGGTTTTAGTGAGTCAAAAAATATCTTTTGAAATAATTAAGCTCCCAGGTAACTACTATGTATATTATGAAGTATTAGATACCTGACTCTCAAAATTAGACCTTCTTGAAGTAAAGACATATTTTTGAAAACGTGGTAAACTATTATATTACTTAATTATTAATTATTTAACTTTATCATCTACTATGTATAAAAATCAGGTAAATATAGATGATGAAGTGTGCACATTTAAAGAATCAAGAAAGATGGAAGACAATTTAGAAAAGTATGCAAACAAATATATAAATTGAGAGCTGTAGAGACAAGCACAAACATTGATACAAAGAAAAAGCTTTGGGAAGAGAAAATAATCCCAATATCCTCAGTGTACAAGCTACAAAATAAAAATATAAGTCAGTTAATATCATCATAAGAGAAATAACAGAACATTAATACAAAACAGCAAGATTTGACACTTTATTTTATCCCCATCCATTTCTTTAATGTTCTCTTTTCCAAGAACCTATATTACCAGCTATGAATTTTCTAACTTATTACAATGTTAGCACTTGATCTTCATATTACCAAAAAAAGAAAAATCACTGAAAAAAACTAGGTTATGCCACAAAGTACAAATGTGCCTTTCATGTATTATACACTACATCAGGATTGAGGATTCCCAAATACTATCCCAAGCACCTAAGCCTTTGCAAGCCTGCTCCTGCACTGCCCAGATCTATTCTTTTTTAGGAAATAATAAAAAATTTAGATGTGAACTCTGTCCACCATTTCCACCTCTAATAATGTTAAAAACCAGCTTCACGTACATCAAGGCTATGATCGTGGCAGGGGCAGAAAATCTAAAGGTCTTATGTTACCATTTTGCTTTCCAAGTTGTGGTTGCCCACCTATTTATATAACCTAACTCTGCTTGCCCACCCCAGATAAATTGTTTCTGCAATTACTTTAACAAAAGAAAACTGAATCTTAGTCACTAAAAAGAAAAAAAAAAGGTACAATTTCTACACTTAATAAAAACTCATCTTTAAATAATACAGTACTATGTAACTAATGCAATGCTGACAAGAGAAACGCACAGAACAAAAAATACCGTCCAAAGTATATTTGACTGGCTGTTTGAAAAAGTTCTTTTGATAAGTATGGAAATTATTAAAATAAATTTTAGTGTAAAAATTTTATAGTCATTTTTCATTGTATGATAACCTAACAGCTCACATTTGAAATAGTTTCATAATATTAAGTATTCCTAGGGGAGTGTAATTCAATTTCTTACCAGAAGATAAAATTGGCATCACAGTTGTATCAGACAGGGTTGTCATTTCTTGTCCAACGAGTGGCGAACTTTCTCCTCCATCAAACATTCCAAAAACATTCACTTTATAGGTGGTACCTGCCCTGAAATATTAAAATATGTAGTCTGTACGGGCCATTGGTACAAGTGGTAGCATTTTTTGGCTTTGTTAAAGACATGCATCTTGATTTATGAACTTTCACTCAGAGGAACTTATAATGTTCGACATCTTGAGAGAAGAAAATTAACTTTCATCACTTTCCAGCTTATGCTTACCCCGGGAGGTATCAAGGAACACTACACAGCAAGCATTCCAGGGAACACTAGGGATTCACAGCACCAGTTTCTGCCGTGCCTTTCTATCGGATGCAGCGTGCCCTGCCCATCCCTTTTAGCACGTCAGAGAAGAATCACACTCTATTCTTACTGCTTCTAAGCAATGCCCTTTAAGAAAATGATTGAAATGTTGTACCTTGCAGAGTAACATAAGGCACCTAGCACGATGCCTGACACATAGCTCATTAAATTTCTTCCTTCCTACTCCAGTAAAAGTAAATAGCAAGCGTTTATATAGATTGCAATACTGTTGAATGAATGGTTGAAAAAACAAACTTTCCAAATGCAACACACAGTAGTCCATTCTTTTTACTGTAATGAATGTAGGGTGCTGTTCAAACTCAAATTTCCTTGTTTTCCACTGCACAGCCCGAGGCTAGACCTTTAATCAGCCCAGCCTTGCCCTCTCCTGCCAGCTGGCACCAAGCACAAAGTCCTGCCCTTTCTCTCTCATGTATCACAGCGGAGAGGGATTCCCATTCGGGATCTCAGCATGAGTCTCCTGAGCCCTTCCAGAAAGCACAGGAACCCACAAATCTCCACATGGCTGGAATTTTGGTGAAATTGTGTAATACAGATGTCAATTTTTAAAAAGCAGAGTGTTACTGAAAAATGCCATTACTGATCATGTAAAAACAAAAATCATTACAGCAAATCCTGCTCAGGCCGAAATTCTGTTGCTAGCCTCTGATTCCTAACCTCAACTCCAGCAGCACCGAGCATGAGAAAGCAGCTTTAGCTGATTTTAAATACTCCGCTGGCAAACTAACATGTTAATGATTATTTGTACAAGGCGTATTAATTCGCATAAGTTATTCAATCTTTCAGCACAAATGTACTTAATTCCTACCTAAGTTCCTCCAAAACAACGGTGTTGTCATAGGGTCCAACCACTAACTCCCCCAGTCTTCTGTCATCCCCCGTAGGGTGGAATGTGACTTTATAACCTTTCACTTCCCCAGGGGCAGGCTCCCAAGTCACTCGGAAGCTTGACATAGTTGGGTCAGATGTTTTGAGGTTTCTGGGCGACTTAAATCGAGATGCTGTAAAGACGAAAAGATTTTTAAAATATTAATAAGACTAAGCTTTTAAGGTTTTATATTAACCCCTACAAAAAGGTATATTTATAAAAAGAGTTAAGTCTGGTAACACAAGACATGATGTTCAATAAAAGTCCTGACCACAGAATGCTACCCAAGCAGAAGTGTAAATAATTCTCACAACACAGATTAGATTCACCTTAAAACATGATTTTACCAGGAACTAGATTGGTAAAAATGGTAAGTTAATTAGGCATCCTATTTAATAATTATAATTTAATTTGCTACAGGATCAGTCTTAAATATTCACAAATGAAGTA